GGGAAAGAGAAGTGATGTTGCACAAACCTGAAGGGGGAATAGAGTGGGATGGGAATGTAGCGCGGATCGGATCTGCCGTTTGGACAGAGAGAAAAATTGCTTTTATAATTTTCCCTGGAATTTCACCATTCTCGAGGGTGTAACTGCTTCTTTGCCTTGTATTGTTCATCATTGGCCGGAAATTTCTTTCTTATAATTCTAAAAAGAAATTATTATAAAAACATTGTTCTACGATATGATTTTCCTTCTTTACAAATAATTGTACCCCGCTCGAAATAATACGGGTTGTAAAGAGTTACTTCTAAAATTATTAAGATTAAATTAATATATAGTTTTCGAGATTATTTAAAAACCTTTAAATAGATCTCTGACTAAAACAAAATTGAGCACTTTGTCCTATCTTTTATATAAGAATCAAATTGTTATATTTCTTCTATTTATAAAAATAAATATTTATGTTATATGTATTAATTATTAATTTCTTTTATTAATCTATTAATAATACAAGATAGAAAAAAAATTGTATCTTAAATTAGATGTTGTATCGTGCAATTACTATTTAAACGAATTAATTAAAAGAATATTTTTTAAATAAAATTTAATTTTATCATATAACTAATCAAAATTAATTATCTTTACTATTTTATTAGTTTTTATAAATTATTTATTTATTGATCTTAATTAGCTTTTCAATAATTAAGAGACCATTTATATTTTTGCGAACTCCGTTTTCTCACAGTCAAAAATCATGCCATCACCAAACATGTCTTGAAAGTGTGTGTCCAACAGACAATCCTTACGGTTGAATCAATCAACAAAACTATGGACACGGTAGAACATGTTAAAATGGTCATCGACGCAGAAACTTCAAAAACTAAAATGAATGTTATTTGATAATTTCATAAATTAAGTCTTAATAATAATTTTAGGGATTAAATTCTTCCATGTTAATAATTTAAAATATTAATATGATATATTTTTTAAGTTTTTTATTAAAATGAATTTGTTATTTTATCACATGATAATTTTCTTTTATAATAGTAACTACCCAGCCATACTAAAAATAATTTTTAATTAATTATTGATGTAAAATTCTTTATAGTGAATAAACACTTCATCTCTCTCTGTTTTGAAAAAATAAAAAAGAAATAAATTGTGAAAAATATATTTTAATGGATAGTTTGTAGAGTAATTTAAGGAGCAATTAGAAAGGTCAAATAAAAAAAAAATTGGCTAAAAAAAGAATATTATCTTTATTATAATTAATAAAGTCGAAATTGTAACGACCCGTCTGGCCGCCACACTCATCTCAACAACACAACACCACATAGAAAAGAGCATGCACATATATATAAGCAGATAGAATATATACACAAGGTCCAATCTGGGGCTTCAAGAAATCAAAGTACAACATACAGCCCAAATGCTATAGTAAGTAGCTAAAAATAGCAAAATATCAAAACTACAGCCACTGCATTTGTCAGCTACAGATCTGCCTCTATACACCAACCTATCCCTGCTCTGCTCCCATACATAGTATGATCATTGCAGTCCAAACCACATGGAAACAACAAAGGGTAAGCTAGTGAAAAGAATCAACATATATAGATATATAAGTACAGCAATTAGAAGCAACTACAGCTTAACAGCACATCATCTAGTTCAGCAATTATCAGCATACAACTCATCACATATACAGCTCACATCATATAGTATAAACAGCATTAAACACACAATGCGTCGTCACGCATATCAGCTCAGAGATCTCTTACAACAGCTCAGCCTTACGGCCTACAACAGTTTATATCAGCATGCAACACAACACAGCATAACATCAATAACAGCATACAACACAACTCAACATAGTACAGCACAGCTTAAACATCAAAATTCAGCCTAAACATCTCTCAGCACAACAATATTATAAATCAGCTTAACAACATTCATCAATAACAGCTCAGCTCAGCAACATCAACAATTATCAACATTTCACAACATATTTTAGCATATAACAAGACATAATTGAACATCACATCTACGCCCAGCGCACTCATGGTCGCGCCCGGCATGGCCCAACCAGAGAGCATTAGGGCTCAAACGCGCCCGACGCAATTCCAGTTGCGCCTGGCGTGCTAGGAGGCAGAGACTCCAATGAGTCTCACACGCCTGGCGTGCCAAACTCGCGCTTGGTGCAAGGGAGGTAGAGACCTCCCCAAGGTCTCACGCCCGGTGTAATACAAATTGAGCCCAATGCCACCTCTGGCAGAGACTCCCCAAGGAGTCTCCACGCCCGGCAAGACATAGTCATGCCCGGCGCCACACTAGAAACCAAAAATGCTAAGTTCCCTACTGATATCGCGCCCAGTGCGGTCCAAACCACGCCCGACGTGGGCCATCCAGAGGCTCCTATTCTCAAGGTCGCCCGGCGCACACAACCTTGCGCCCGGCAGGCTTGCCCAATAGAGACCTCTGATGGTCACGCGCCCGGCGCCAAGAACTGCGCCCGGCGTGATAACCAGCCTGCACAATCAACCAGAAAATTCACATGCAAACCATCCAAAACTTCACATTTTCATCAAACAGCTCAAAAATATCATCTTTTTCAACATGCAACCACGAACAAGGAAAATCCCCAAATTTTCAAAAAGAAACCCCGAAACCCTAAAAACCCAATTTTCATCAAACTCAGCCATCAATCTTCAGGGAAACAACCACACAATGAGTTTAAGAACTCACTTTCAACAAAATCATCCAAAAACCTAGCTTCCCTTATCTCGGTGAGAAGAAATTTCGAGTTTTAGGCAAGCGGAGAAGAAGAAGAAGAAGAACGAACAGAGATCAACGGAGAAGGAGAACTTCAGCTAGCTTCCAACACTACGAATCAGCACCTACACACCCAAAGAGTCCAGAGAATTGAGACCAAGGCAAGCAAATGGAAGAAGAGAGTGAGAGTTGAGAGTGTGAGTGAAGAGAATGAGAAGAAAAAAGAGAGGGAGAGGCCGTGGGTCTTACAAAAATATTTCGTACCTCTATATTTATTAAAAATATTTAAGAATTATTAATATTTGTTGAGTCAATTATTGTTGTGTCTAATTCTTGAAGTTGAAGGTCTTAATTTAAGTCTTGAGTTTGTAAAAATAGCTAATTTTTTAATTTTTATTATTATTTAAAAATTTAAAGGTAAAATAGTTTAAAATTTGTGTACACAAAAATAGAGAATCGCTCTTATATATATAGGTATAGATTATAAATTATATATTATTATAGTTATAGATTATAGATATTACATAATAATTAAACATTTAAATTTTCTTATTTTAGATATGATTTTAAAACAATTTTGGAAATTCAATTAGAGGTAAGAGAAACTTGGTTGAATTTCATTATTGTTGATGAATTTTTGGTTGTTGGTTTTCTTGAATTCTCTCTTGTATGATGGAATTGATGGATGGAACATGTTGTGAAGGAGTGCCCTTGTATAGTGTTACCGGGTTGCTTGGTTGAATCTGAATTTTTGGATGGTTGCATGCATTATTTTAAGTTGTTTTGTTGTTTTCTATGTGGTATGTTTTTCGTATGTTGGATTGCATGATGGGTTCTTGTTGTATTTAAGGTGGATTGAGCTAAACGAAGGTTCTGTTAAGGGTAGAAGTCTTCATCACACCAAGCATGCTTTCATGGCACCAAGTGTGGCTTAAGTTTAACAGTCTATACTCTAATAACGTTGGATGCAGCATTGGTGGCATTAGATATGAGAAGAAAGAATTGTCTCTTACTTGGTTATGTCAAGAATGGGTTTCAATGACATTGGATGTGAGAATAGAGAATTGTCTCTACTTTAGTTGGCATTAGGCATCAACGAAGTGACATCGAGCGTGAGTCAAGTAGAGGCTCTTTGCTTGATTGAGGTCAAATGTGGAGTTTTACCACTCCAAGTATGAGAGACTCTGAGTCTCTCTGCATCATCCACGTCAAGCATAGTATTTGGAGAGTAGTCGACGAGTTATTTCTACAAGAGGCTTAATGTTGCAAGTTAATGTCATGGTAGACTCACACTTGAGTTGTTATATTGTGACAGGAATACTAGATTTTCTAATTTAAGTGACGAAACATAAGAAATCAATTTAAGTTGTATACCTGACACTCTATGAGGCCTAACACTGTTTATACTTGACTTGATTGTGATAGGTCAAATGTTGTGGTTTGGTAGGGTCTATCCACTTAAATTGCTCACCTTTGATATAGGAGATATCTGTAGTTGATATGTGTGACAATGCATTAGTTGTTTATGATGATATTGTTGTTGTGTTGTAAGTTGTTGTGATGTTGGCTTGATGATGTTCTTAACAAGTTAAAAGTTGTTTTGTTGAGTTGTATTGAATATTGATTAAGTTGTTTATGTTATATTGTTATAAGTTGCTGTTGTGAATGTTATGTTGATTTTTTTTATAAGTTTAACCATTTTTTCCTTGTGGTTGGAATTATAATGATCATACTTTATATCGGAGCATGACAAGATTAACAACTTGTTTATTCAGTGGAGGATCATGTTGTTCATGACCTAATTTTGGAGATGATACTCTGATGTAGCTTAGTTTTGTATAGACGTTTGATCGATGATTAAGGATCTTATATACATCTATGTAGTTTATGTAGATTATATATGTGTACATGATGTGTATAACCCCCATAAGGGAGTTTTTTATTTTTAGTATTATTTTTTTTACATTATATATGTATAGATTGTATGAATGACCAAGTAATTTTGCATGAGAACCCTAGGATAATCAATTGTTCTTTTATTTTCATTGCATATTATTTGAACCAATGACAGACCTACATTATAGTGAGGGTGAATAGATGCATCCCCTTACTTTAATTAAATCATTAGTGTATGTTTAAAAATATTGTATTTTGCATCTCTTAATTTTATATATTGAACCTACTAATGATTATTTTAGACATTTATATTTTGTTCTTTGTATATATGATGATGATGATTATTAAACTTTATTTTCTTAAAAATTGCTCCAACTAACCAAAGGTCTTTGATTTGCTACTGATTAGAATCATATCAATTGTAGTAACCTATTAAGGGGGAAAGGGAGAGAGGAATCCACTTACTTAAGAGTAACTATACTTAGACTTTATCAATAAATGACTATATCTCCTAATCTTGTAATTTTTAATAAATTTTAAAATGGGAATGAGTGTACTACTAACACTTCTCTTAATTAATTAGGTAAAAAATGATTGAATAAAAAGAAAGAAGGTCAATTTTAGAAAAATAATTTTAAATTATTAAAAAATTAATATTTTAAACTAAATTAATTATAAATAAAAAATAAATAAATTAACTAGTTTTCCTAAAATGTATAATTTAATTGAAAGGATCTCATAATTAAAAACAAAAATAGAATTAAAATTTTTTTACACTATTATTTAATTACAAACCATCATACAATCAATTTATTAACTTTAATAATAAAAATCAAATTAACGATAACTTCTAGTTGATTAACAATACAATAAAATTTACACCAAAAATTAAAATGTACCAGAAAAAAAAAACTTTTTGAATAAAATTGAAATATCGATGCACACAAATTTTGAATGTTTTTCATTGTCAAAATTTAGAGAGATAGCATCAGTAATAGCGCTGGGTAGTTGTTGATTTAACTGGTGAGTTGTCCATGGCTGGCAAGGCCAACGAAAAAATGATCACTTTGAGAGAGTTTAGATAATCTAAATTCTAAAGAGTACGAAATGCACACTTTGATTTTGGGGTATTGGAATTTATATAGATTACTCCATGATATACACGCTTGCTTCCATATATCTCAATCCTTGAGTGTCAAACAATTACACAACCTGTGCCAAAACCCACCAGATGTTGGTGGTACTTGCTCAAGAGGGTCCTTAAATTTTGCTTTCTCGCCTAACTCTTCAAAAGAATCCACAAGGTTCTGGAGCCTTGCCACAAACTCAATAAGAAGAGATGTGAATGTTGCCAGAGACAGAGAGCTAGCACTTTCATAGGTTCTAGATTCTTCCTCTTTTGTCACTGGATCTGCTCGGAAGGAGATATGAGCAGGCCAAGATATCTGTTTACTGAACATGTTTTCATCACCAAAACCTGCAGGTACTGCAGCTATATTCGGAGGAGTTGCTTGTTGTTGTTCTTCCCAACTTTTTGGAACTTTGACAGCTCTGAGATCAAGCACAGCTTCACTCAGAGACTTGTACTCCAAAAAGTGTCTTTCTTCGTTCAAGAGGTCTTGAGGATCACCCTCACCTCTTGGCCTGTTTCCAATTTCCCAGCTCTCTGAATTCACAAGGAGAAAGGATTTTTTGTCAATCTTCTGTTGCAATTCCTCTGCTGCCTCGTGCACTTCAAAAAGAATGTCTTCGTGGCCTAGTTTCTCCATATTTTTCACTTTGTTCCCAAGTTCTCTTAGAATTTTTGCCCCTTCAGATCCAACCTTCTGAAGCTCCCTGCTAAAGACTTGTCTCTTCTCAGCTGGAGCCTGATTATCAAAAAGGAGGTTGAGTGCATGTGTATTTGCATAAATTAAAAAAAATAATAATAATAATAATAACAATCACTGATGACCTTAAATTATCTGAAAATTAGATGTATCCTCTATCTCAAGAGAAAGAACCATAAGAGAGTAGTAATAAACCAAATTCTTTGAAATTATCACCAACAATCAATTTAGTCCTTAAAATCATAAAAATGTCATTTTAGTTTTCGAAATCACCAAATAAAAGTCATTTTATTTCTTGAGTTTAATTACATTTTTTATCCTCAAAGTTTCACAATGTCACAAATTATTTTATTCCTTGAAATTAAAATAAGAACCAAAATTATCAATATTTGGTAATTTAAGGACTAAAGTGAGATTTTTAAGGAGACCGACAATTATAATTTCGAGGATTTATTTAGTATATTACTCATTACTTTTAAAATACAGAGTAAAGGATGCTTTAAAATATAATCACTCCCATATATCATAATCACAGTTTTTCAGGTGCAGATCTTGCTCCAGTAAGCTACTTTTACGTAATTGATAAATTATTCCACTTATAGTCAAGCAAAGCAGAGAGTACACAGCCTAGCAGTATTCGAGTTAAGGCGGTGACCAGACTCAATCTACTGGCATGAAAAAAAGGCAGCACAGAATGACTTCATTTCAAATATGAAAGACCAACAAGATCAAATTTATCTTTATCTGTCTTTCATGTCGTGAATAATAGAAAAAGGTTTTTTAAGGCAGAAACAATCTACTACAACACATTATGTACCACAGAACCAGGTACCAGTACACATTGGGTATACTTGAGTTAAGATTAAAAACAATCTACTACAACATAGTATGTACCAGGCATATTGAAGACTCCGACGGTAAATTCGGCATAATGAATCCTATAAAACTATAGTATGTACCAGGCAGCATTGAAGACTCCGACGGTAAATTTGGCATAATAATTCCTATAAAACTAGTTTATAAGGTAAGGATTACTTTCAATTTATATACTATATTTTTATCATATCATTAGTAGATATGAAATTATCACCACACTTCTAATAACTTATATTGAGAATTAAATATCTTAAACATAATAGTTATAATACCATCTTAAAAATATGAATTTTAGATCTGATTCAATTTTATAAAATCAAATTTTATGATAAAGATTGTCTTTCACTTATATACCTTATTTTGGTTATATTACTTGTGGACATAGAATCTCCAATCAAAGAGATTAGCAGTGGATTACAAAAGATAAAGCTAAATTTCAGCATGGAAGAGTAGTCTATGCCAAGTCTAATGTCAATTAGTAGGTACTTTTCTAAAAACACATGCTAAATTTGATGGTCTATCTAAGTTTAGAAGAATCCTTCAGTTTTGACCTCCCGCAGTCCTAGTACCAAACACAACAATTGAACCCGAGTCCCAAATCATTTCTGACAACAATTGAATAAATTATCAATTATTATTTAAATCAGTATATTATTTCTTTTATCTTGCACTACCAAAAAAAAAAAAAGAGTATATTATGTGGTTCCATCTTGAAAATTACCTCTTCTCTAAATGTTAAAAAAAATTAAAACACTTGATAGAACTAACATATTCCGGTGAAAATAACAAACCTAAAGGGAAATAAATCAAGAATGAAAACAAAATTCAAAAAATAAAGATCATCACAAGATCTACATACACAGACCACTTTCCTGGGACATTGAAAAAAATAAATCCCAAAAACCACCCACCAAAAAAAACACAAAATTCTGAAGACTCAAAGGCTTTGTAACTGAGAAGTTGCATGAAGTACCTGTATTTCAGAAAGTATACATCCATGCATAGCCATGACCATAAATGCACAATGCCTTAGTGCCCCACTTACTTTCACATAATTTTGCCATGGATATCTAAGCATTTTGTATCGGCCATGAGGTGGCTCCCAGACAGCAAAACCCATCTTAAATAAGAAGTACGTATCAATGAGTAAAAAAAAAAATACCAATATCATTATGTGAAAGTGAAACAAAAGAAGTAGATCATAATACCAATGCATCCTCTTTGCTTGTAGATTCAACAGCTGATCTATAGCCATTGTAAACCACATCCTCAGCAGCTTGGTAGGTAAGAATTTTGGAAGGCACTCTCTCATATTCTATACAATTAAGATAGTTATTTACAACACCTGAAAAACAAAGCTTAACAACATTAAGAAGCAGCAACTAAATGTTTGTAATTAGCAGTTAAATTATCACAAACTAAAGCCTAAAGCTGATGATCAAAAAGATATTGTAGAGAACCTTCCAATGATGTTGCAACGCCCATGAAATTTTTTGCCACAAGATCATGTAGATCCTCACCAGCCCAGATTGGATATATACATACATTTATCCCCAGAGCCACAGCAGCACCCAGTGCAATGAGCAAAAATCTATTTATAGCTGTTTCAACAAACTCTCCTGTTCGATACCCTGATAAAATAATGTAGCAATAGGTGATCAAGAACACACGAAAACCGTATTCATAAGCCTTTACTGTTGGATACTGTTTTGCATACGTGGAACAAAATCCTGCCATTCACATATCATAATGTCAGAACAAGGCATAAGCAAAAATCTTTATCAACATGATAAGAAATAGAAGTGATTCAAAATCCTGACCTGCAATGAAGATGCTAACAATTATAAAAAGTTCTTCCCATTTTCCAGCCAAGTTTGATAAAAGTCCCATTCCCAAAGCTAGTCCTCCAGCTAACAAAGTCCCCAATCCTCTGTTAAGGCCCTTGCTAAGAGTTGCTCCTGCGGGAGTATATTGTGACAAATTATTGCTATTAATTGAATGATTGATGCTTATTCACGTGTTCACCAAATGGAAAGCTTGAAACTTGGAATTTACAAATGAATGGTTTACTTCGGCCAATGATTTATAATCAAAATTTTGAGTTTAATAAAAGATGAAGTACATGAAAATTGAACACAACTGAATTAGATAAGCAGCGGCTTTGGAACATGGCAGAAAAAATTATAGCCTGTGATTTCATCATTACAAGCAGAAGCAACTAGGGAGAATTGTATGATTTTTTCTCAGACTAAAATTAGAATGCCATTTGCTTGTCGTTATAAATTAAACAAGAGAACTCTACTGAGCATCCTTCAGACAATTATTAGCCAAATAAAAGTAAAATATATTTACTAAAGAAATCATCATTATGTTAAAAACACAAAAATATTTAATATTTACATTTTAAGTAATTGAAAATATTTAATAAAATTATTGCATGTTTCTGAACCACAACCCTCAAGACAATGGTCAACAAGTATTGTTCCTTAGCATTACTTGGCATTGATTTTCCCAACAAACAAACTAAACTAACAGAACCAACACATCACTTTACCACGGTCAAATATTCTAAACCAATCTTCTTCTAGTTATTATTCCCCATGACCCTATCAAGTATCAAAATACCATATTATATCTCTATTAAAAAGGGTAAAGACCTTCATACACTAATCTAGGCATATTCTTCGCCAATTCCTATTGAAGAAGAGGAATTAAAAGCCCAAAAGAGGGGGAAAAATAGTAAACACTCATTTAAATCCATCATGACAATAATTTGGTCTCGGAAAAAACTTTGTAGTAAGTAGGTCCTTTAGTTGAAAAAAAGAAAATAATAAAGAGAGATCAATTTAGTCTACAACGCGATCAGTTTGGTTCTCGATCACATGTTCCAACTTTTTATGTTACTTTAACCAATTAGAGGACCAAGTTCGTGCCAAATTACCCAAATAAGTAACGTCACGTGAAATTTTAGACATCATAATTATATAAAAAAAAAATTGTATAAAGTGCAGAGGTGTACTTTTAAAAAACAATGTTATGATTGTAATATACATCATGTATGTATATATATATAATAAGAACGTATAAATATATATATATATATATATAATAATTTAGTTTAAATACTATAAATTTTATATGTATAAAAAAAATAGTATAAAGTTTATTAAAGAATCAACGAGAATAAATTTTCAAACATGATAAAATTACATTTCTAATTAATTAATGATATATAAAAATTAAACTCTAATATTAAATTAGTTATATTTTTTTTCATAAATCATAAATATTAGATATTTTTACATTGTCACTTCGAGTGAGATAAGACTAATACAAGCAATAAAAATAATAAATAAATAAAATCTCTATGATTAACGAATATTTAACCCAACTATCTATCAAAAAGTCGTCTCCCAGGCCATTGACACACACTTGAGGCTAAATTAGTTATACTTTCAATCTTTGCCAATCCATTTAGCAAGCTAAATTCCAAGAAAACAAAGATTAAAATAACCATCCTATCATAATTAAAGAAATGAAAAGACATTTTTATAATTTCTTTTTTACTTAATTTATAGATCACAAATATTCTCTAACTATTCAAGTCAGATAAAATTACTAAAATATTTATCATCACGAGTAAAGCTAAGTAAAACTATTATAGCACCATTACACAACTGTATATTCAGAATGTAAACTGAACATATATTCTGAACTCAAAGGTAAGATAATTAATTAAGATTATGATGTAGCCACATATTGAGGCTGAAATTCGATATGATTGATTAAGTTGATTGGTTCTTAGGATGGTTGATCCACCATGATATATTTGTAGAATTTAAAATCATAGTGAAAAGAGGCAAGAAAGAAGGGTTGATAGCATACCTATGCTGAATTCGAAGACAACAACGACAGTGAGAATGGCCCAAACGGAGTATCGACTAACATCCTCGAAGGGCTTCTTGAGGAAAATGAGAAGCGAGAGAAGAATAAGCGCGAGACCCATTTTGGCGGAGAAAATGATCTTCCTGGGATCGGAGCGCCCCATCTCCCACGCCTTCTCCGCCACGCGCTTGGAGGTCTGCCACGCGCCGACGATCCCGTCGGAGAAGGCGCGGTAGGAGCAGCAGCGGCGGCGGCGGCGGGGCGAGGGGTCGTCCTCCTCGGACTCCGGCAGCGCGATCCCAATCTGGGAGAAGCCTCCGCCGCCCTTCATTGACAGAAGCCTCTCCTTCTTCTCGGCGAAGCTGTGGCGGAAGGAGCCCAACTTGGGCACCCTGGTGGAACCCATCATAGTCTTTTGGCGCCGAATAATCGATTACGCTATTTTGGGAAGGACAGTGCGAGGAGTTTTATTAGTCTTGTCGAAGGGGACGAGGTGGTTGGCGCTGAGATTCGGGGGCGGAATGTTGTCTGTGCCTTTTTGCTTGCTTGTTTTTGAAACGTGCCGACCAGTGTTGGAAATTGAGGATAATAAAGAGGCATAAGTTAACATGAACTCAACGTGGCTGCTTGTATTGTACTGTAGGAATTTAGGGAAGATATGTATCTGGTCAGCTAAATGTTAGTCAGAGAGAGAGAAAAGTACGTTTACCATGAGAAATCATTTTTTTTTAATCCTTGGTAATCCAACTCATTAACATTGAATGAGGGTGTTTTTGACTTAAAATGCATATTCTCAGTCAGAATGATGGTTTTTTTTTTTTTATTTCAAAAATTATTAAAATAAATAATACTTTCACTTTCACTTTTGAGTTATATTAATAAAATTGTATTAATATATATTTTTAAAAATTTTAAAAATTTATAAACTTAATTTATATATTAAAAAATTTAAATTTAATAATTTAATCATTTAAATTTAATATAGAATATAAATATATATTAAATAAAGTAAATATAAATAGATTTACTCGTAAAAAAACGAATCACTTCTCATATGAGTAAATATAGTAGAATTACTCTATTTATTAGATATATATACACTATGCTTGATCTGTGTACTAAAATGTTAAACTACGAGACTGAGGGAGTAGTTCTTGAACGATGTGTAAAAACTTTATAAAATTATGGTTCACGTGTACTAAAATTACTTTTATTATTAATGAAAATTAATTATTTTTATTATTTTTAATTAATTAATTAATTAATTTTTATATAAAGAACGGAAGAATTATTACGTATTTGACTAATATACATAGGCATAATCATTACATACATTTTATAAAGTTTATTAGATTGGAACTTCAAAAAAATAGCATTTTAACAAACAAAAACTTGTCAATTTTGAAAGGTAAGAATATAATGATTTATAAAAAAAATATTTATAATCAAAACTTTATAATTTAAATTTTAATAAATTTACGTCATAAAGTCTGTGAGATTTGAAATGATCTTATGAATTTCTATATTTTAAAATAATCATTAATTTTTAGTAAATATTCAAGGCCACCAAAGTGAATGAAACATATAACAAAAAAATCATAAAGTTTGAATAAAGATTATAAATAGAAAATAAAAATAAAAATATTAGTATGATAATATATATATATATATATATATGAGTTAATTACCTATACACCACTAGTGTAAAGTTTTTTTACACTAGCAACTAATTATATCTTTTTATTGTGTCATGTCACTGTAAACACATTTACTTTTAACAGTGACATGGCACAATTAAAAGATATAATTGGTTGTCAATGTAAAAAACTTTATACTGACAGTGTATATGTGATTAACTATATATATATATATATATATATATATATATATATATATGTATATATATCATAAACGACTCCAAACCAACTCAAAATGGTGCATGCAACCATGGATTTACAAGAATCATCAAATTTTCTTTAGAACACATTTGAAAGCCCAAAAACTTAAGCAATTGAAAATCATTTCTAAATTCATCCAAATAGCCATGCAACTCATCAAACAAGTTATACAATACAAAGATTAATCAATCACAAACTTCCCTTACCTCTAATTGTTCTAAAAAGAGAAGAGGGTGATGAAGAAGGAAGTGAACTCCTTACGATTCCCGACTTGAGATTCTCAACCCCAAAAGCTTGAATCTTCAACTTTCTTAACTTTAATCAATTGTAACAAGGGTACGACATAGGAATAGTTGCTCTAGCTCCAAATTCTCTGTCGCTAACTTCTCTCTACTTTTTTTAAGAACTGAACTTATGAGATTCACTTCTTAAACAAACCTTATATATCTTTCTTTAAATTAAGTCAACTTAACTCTAACTCAAATTGCCTCATCCAACTAAACTCTTAATTAAGGGTCCCCTGACCCGCAAAACTCTAAAACAACAACAATCCAACAAATAATCATATATAATATATAATTAATTAAAACACTTAAAACATACAATTTTACATTTAACTTCTTATTTAATTTAAGTTTTAATTATCATAATTCTTTGTGACCACTAGGACTAGCCTAGTGGTTGGGAGGAAAAAGATTAAAATA